CACTTCCTTGGTTCTCATCGCCTAGGAGGAACATTTAAAAAGAACTCGGCTCAATGGAATTTAAGAGCCTGCAGGGCATAAGATGCGTATACCGCGTCACTGTGTTCGACTGAACAAGAACATATTCGAGCACCAACAAGAATGCCACTCTCCGTAACCAAAAGATAAAAAATAACATATATCACCGATGGCAGGGAGTGGATATCGGGAATGGCAGAGAAGAATGCTGGATTCTGAATAGTAAACAGTGCAGTCATTAAAATATTCCTCTGGCTGCTATGCGAGAAATTCCAAGACTACAGTATGCAGTTTCACTAGTGTCGTCGACTTCCAAATGACTTTTGACAAGACATGTAAAGTGGGGCTATGGGAGGCTATGAGAAAAGTGCTTCAAAGAAAAATTCCCAGCCTACTGCAACTACTCGGTGAGGATTCAGAGTTGGCAGTTACAATATCCGTAACTTATAGTGAATGGTTCAACACATCTGCGTATTTTATAGGGTTGCTCGCTGTCGCCAACATGATTCAATGTTCATAGTAGAGAAAATTTTTTATAATTCTGTATAAAGGTTCGCAGGATCGATGCCAGTTGGTGATCGAAGGAATAATAATAGTCGGTTCGCTGAGGACGCTAAACTACGGGGACGGATTATGGTGAGGTTTCTAGGTCTGGCCAGTCGGCTGAATAATAGCGAAGAATTTTTTGGTATGCCATTAAGAGCAGCAAAGACCAATACGACGACGGATTTAACGGGGGAATAGTTCGCAGATACCTCAATGGTGAAGAGCTGAAACTTGTTCAGAAATTCAATTAACCTAACTCAGTGGTCACTTGTGAAGAAGCATCTTCAGCTGGAGATAAAAATGAAAAGCAACAGCCACAGCTTATTCTGTCGAATCTGTCAAACCAATCCAGGGGGGAATAACATATAATTATAAGTAATATTTAAATGCTCGTAGAATCAGTTTGTCCGTAAGGTTCATGGTTCTGAATCCTGGCCACGGACGGCAGCAACAGAAAAAAAGTCAATAAAGCTTTTGAAACGAAACGTGTTATCAGCGCTTTCTGTCGATTCCGCCCGTGCACCGCGAACATAAATGACGAAAACTAAAGGACAACCGAAAGACTCGCCGGTAAAAGACAGCAGCTGCTAATAACCGTGAAATGTATGCCGTATTTCTGGCACATCTTGCTACTTAGCGGCCTCACAGAAGCCATCAGCATGACACTGACCAAGAATGAACGCCGCGAGGGCACTAAAGGAAGAGTTGGGTTAGTAGTTCAGCAAAATGAACCGAAAATGATCAGCTACCGTACCCGAATAAGAAAAAATCGATAGAACAGAAATTTAGTTCGCCGATACAACGTTAACATCCTTGAGGCAACTGGCCATTGGAGAGGAGGCTGGTGGCACTTTGTGATGGTTTAGTCCGTCATCACGCGAGTCCAGGCGAATTGCAAGCGAAAAGCGCAAGCTAAGGACAGCGCGGTCGTAAATCTTGTAAGCTGTGGCATGCTCACACCAGAACATCATATTCTGCCTAACTTTCGCATGTTAAATGCTACTTGTTTCAAAGTGGGGTGCACTACTCTGTTAAAGGAATTGACAGTAAACGACAAACGTTTACTCTGTGATTGTGATTTACTGTACTGAAATTCTAAAGCACAACGCAGAACGAATGCACTCTGAACCACCATTGCTTTCAGGGTACCAAATTACTTCCCAAATTATCAGCATCAATAGATAATGCTATGCTTGCAGATCATAACATTATCACTGCATCAGAGCAAACTGGACGCTATATCAATTAAGTGGCAAAACGAACTACTATAACAGGTTGTATTAAGTTTCTAGCCAGCACCGAATTCTGATGTTGCACTGGTTTAGTCTTTGCCTGAAATCCTTGTCCACTTTCTGAAACCTGGCTTGTTCTTGGGGAAGTGCTCCGTGTTCGAAAATAGGAGCCAGGTAAACCCATCGCCGTTGTATCTCGACCAGCATCTGCACCGTTTCTCTGAGCTGCATTAGTCGCTCTTCCCAAAACGACACCCTCTCCGTGAAAGTAGTGTAAAACGTCGAATCTTTCAGGGTTTGTACTAGTGCAATGTTTTCGCCAATCTAAATATGAAACATATTTTCGCGGCACTCACACTCAAACCAATACCTGGTTTAAGGAAGTTTTCCAGTCCTTCACTAGACGAACTTTTTCTATGTCGGCACTATGATATTCTGTTAACTCAAAAGTAGCCATCGCTGCCCAGTTATCCAGCTCCTTAAATGCATCGCGAATCGTCACTTCGCCCTGAGCTTTGCTATTTAACTCCTGGAAAGCTTCATGTCGATTCGCACTTCTCGGCTTTCATAATAACACGTTGACCATACCTTGATTTGGCTTGATTTCTGGGCTATTTCGTTTCTGACTGCCAACAGGTCAGCGAACAAAATTTTGTCTAGCGGTCGATCTGTCGGCAGACCAAGGAGACGAAAGAACTCCAGCCAGTGCTCTTCAGAAAATATTTCACCTCTGCAGTAAGGCAAAAGCCGCAGGAGTTCCTTGAAAGTCGACATAAAGCTACCGCGAAAGTTATTCGAAAGTTCTGTTTACCTTCAGCTGTGCGATTTCCGCTTCAATGAAAGTCACGATGACGTTTTTCTCAACGAGTTTAAGTTTCTCGGTTGACGTCGCAAGGAATTCGTCGAATAAGTAGAGTTTACTCCTGCAGTAATCAATGAACAATGAATACGTGCTTACAGTTCAACAAGATTGAAACTAGTTTCTTTATTAGAGATGATACTTTCTTACTTAACATTAAAATGAAAAGTTGCATGCTCGTACCGTGCTGATGAA